AACCGACTCAAAAATTTTTTATACATATATGTATACTATACGCTTCTTTTAAAAAAAAAATTTTATACGTATATGTATACTATACGCTTTTCCCTTTTTTGTAGTATACGTGACGTTTTTCATGGTATTAACCTTACGATTATATGCAACACCGTAAAACACTACTACCTCTATACTGCTATACGTATAAGCACAACCTCTTTATAATCGCATTCTTTAAAAAGTCTATAAGCAACAAAATATTTTGATTATATAGGGGTCAAAATTTTTTTCATATCGCAAATCAATCAATACAGATACCCAAATAATCGAAAACAGCGATAAGATTTCATATAATATCAGCATTTTAGATATTATAATAACCTTTGCCATTAGGCTCTTCAATGTTGAACTCATCACAAATAGCAACCCGAGCTGCCTACCTTTGTTTACTATTTTTTAAAGTTTAATATTTCTTTTTTTATTTTCCAATAAATATTCAGGACGGAGATGAAACCTGCGCCGTAAATTAGTAAAATCCGCTATGTAACGGATTTTACTAATTTACAGCGCGAATATACAGTACTCTGTCGAAATATTTTTATTTTAAATTCTCATGTAATACACAGTGCATCGTATTGAGATAAAATATCTTTAAATTTAAACAATAAAAATATTGATAAACATTTAAAACTTCTAATTTGCAAATTATTGAAACAATAAAATCTAATTTATTCACTCAGTCCAAATTATGATGAATTTAAAACGCGATTTTAAAAATCATGATTGTTTGATTTTTAATTAATTGTTTAATAAAATGTTTTAATACATCATGATCGTGGAAACAGTCAAGCCTCTCTATAATCACACCCTTGGTTTGAAGAATTTGGTGCTTATAAAGAATTGTACCAGTGTTGAAAATTGAATGTGCGGATCCAGATTTTTGAAATAATACGACTTGATTGGATCCGCACATTCGAATTTTCAACGCTGGTTTTTCAACACTGGTTTGTGCTGTTAAATTTTATATGTGATATAAATTGATTTTAAAAATTGGTGATTATAAGTAAATGTGACTATAGAGAGGTTTGACTGTATTATGTCCCGCGAAAACCTCACTTAAAGGAATTCGTTTAAACTTTCTTTAGCAATATGCTATAATGATTTGGTGTCAGAAAAAAAAAATATATATGTGAAAATATGAAATTTTGGTGAATTTCTAAAATATACATTCATAATATTTTACGTGTAAAATGTATAGAGACGATTATGTATGTCTTTTTTAAGTTAACTCGATCTAAGAAATACAGACATGTCACGGCTTATGCTGAACTTGAATGAAGTTAGCCAAAAATTTACAATTTCAGCTTCAGCCAAATTTCAACGTCAACTGACGACGTTTTAAAAACAATTGAAAACATAAAACGATTTAAACCGTTTTTTTTGTTACCATTATTAGTCCCAATAAACTAAGATTTGTAAGCTAATTCGTTTAGTTAAAAATTAAAGTTATTGTTGCTAAAAATGGGCATATTTGTTTGTTGATTGTAAGATAAATCAGGATTTTGCGGTACTGTAAGATTTGTAAAGATGGAAGTGGAAGCGTTCTGAGATGAAATAGAGTCAAAAAAAATATTTGAAATAGTTGAATTATCAGTAGTCGATTGTTGATAATTTTGTTGATCACCGTCAATAGGATGTTGTGATGATAAATATTGTGTAGTTGAATTATTAAAATTAACAGGTAAATTGAAGGTAAAAGCGAAATTATTTTTATCATCACCCCACGTAGGTAAGTTAGGGGACTTTCGGTATTTTTTATACAAATTATCTTTTTGTTTTTCAGAATCAAACGTCGCTTGTTCTTCGTACGCCTTAAATACGTTTAAACTTCCTTTTAGTTTTTCCTCACCATCTAATCTACCTTCACCTGTGGTTTGGTCAACAAATCTTCGCCTTGCAATCTCTGCAACTTCTTTCTTAATCTCATTTAGCCTTTGTACCATAAGTTCTGATTTAGAATCACCACGTTTAGCAGTCCACGTTAACACACGTATGGCAGGTGCAAACGAAAAAAGAGCAGTGCAAGATTGTTCATAAAAATTTGGCACAGTATTCATAAGTACATCAAGACAATGGAGAAGAATTATTGCAGCATGAACACAAATAGTTTGAGATGGCAAATTTGAATCATCCAACGAATGATCCGAAGTGAACATGGTAAGATTGCGACTATGAAGAAGAATAAGTACCGTCCAGAAAAGAGTATGCATTTCTCCTATTAAAGGAAATAGTTATTGAAGTGTTAAAAAGACAATAAAAATAATAAAGAACAATAAATATTAAAATAATATTTCAAGATCACCTCCGATTGCACCTAAGAAACTTCCTTTCGGATCTTGTGCCATTTCTTCAAATTTTAACCAATGTGGTAAAGTATAAAACCATTTCCCTAAAGTTCCATCTAAAAAACGAAACTGATTTTCCTCCCGACTACTGCCAGCAATTTTTGCCCAACCATGTAAATATTTACGAACCTAGAAAAAATATGTATAGATTCTTTTGAGAACTGATTAACCGAGAGTAACTGTTAATAAAGTAATCAAAAACTCAATTAACTCACTTGAGCAAAAATGCGCAACAAATTAATATGTAAGATCCAAGCTATATGCAATCGTGTTTCTTCATCTGGATTTGGATCTGATGGTATTGAAAGGAGATCAACATCGCATGTAGACTCATCTATAGCGCTTGGACGACCATAACAAGCCGAAACCCAACTGAAATAAAAATAGTTAATTATTAATAAAAATGTTAATGATGAATTGGTAAATCAAAAAAAAAAGATTATTTCAAAATGTAAAACTCA